ACTGATCCTACGTGGTATTCGTAGTGAAATCTCTTTGTAGTTGGATTTTCCTGCGTAACAGTTTGGAGGAAAATCACATACTGAAGTTTCAATACAAGGACACAGGTAGGGTTTTCTGAATGCATAGATTTTCATTGCAGTCAATAGAGAGGTTAAATATTCTTGATGTTGCATTTTAACAATTTCTCTCAATTTTTATTGTGACGCATACGAGACTTCAGGAGCAAATGATATAACTGGCTCAACATAAGCCAGATTTGCGTTGAGTTAAGTTTCATGGTTCGCAAATGAGGAAATCTTTTGCCGGGGTTCTATAAAGCATAGAACACCATCTCTACCTTTCAATTTACTTTTTCGCTTCTTTTCTATTTTAACAGAACAAATTTTCTTATTCGTCTTTTGTAAAAATACTTTTTCTCGTTCCCATGCCTCATTTAATTTGGCTGGCTTTCAATGATTGTAACTAGTGCCTCGGCTTCGTGGTTGCACTTTGAAATTATCTGCATAACCAGATGATGAGTTCGAGACAACCAACTCGAGGCGATCGTTTAATTGAATGAAAAATGAGCGTTGTCAAATATAGAGCATTATGGCAGACCTTTTATTGCTGATGTAATTGATGATCTGCTTCTGCCAATTTTTACGGACTGTTTTCTTGAGAACTGTCAAGTAAGTTAAGTCCACCTATAAGACCCGTAGATCTGTAGTTCTTTTGGCAGTGTCATGCCCGCACTCAGTAAAAAGAGAAAAAGATAGATTATAAGGGATTTTTATTGCCAGTCTCCAAAACTTTCAAAAAGCATTGATTATAATCGATTAAAAATGGTTTATAATCAGGGCGGATCTAAGATTTACTCGAGGGGGGGGGGGCGGATTTTCAAAAAGAAATCGAAAATTTCAAAAAAAAAATGGCGACCTTTTTTTTAGGTCGACCAAATTGATTTTTTGAGCTCTCCCAAAAAAACTTTTTGCCCCTATTTTGGCAAAATTTTCTGCGCCGCAGGCAAATTTTTGAAAAAATCAGTCAAAAAAGGCGTTTTTAGGCACTTTTTGGAAAATTTTAACCAAAAAATTGCGTTTTTTCGGCGCGCGCTCCCCCCTCAAAATTAGTAAATGCCGCCGCCGAAGGCGCCTTTAGAAAAAAATTTTAGGGTCGGTCGGCCAAAAATGGATTTCTTAAAAAGTACCAAAAGGGGGACCCTTTGGGTGGGCAGGGTGTCGAATCCCTGAGGGGGAGGGGGGGGGGGTTTGGCGTCCTCCCAACCCCCCCCCCCCCCACTAAATCCGCTCCTGATTATGATGTTACTATATTTTTCGAAACAATAATAATCATTATAATCGAATATAATCGGCTATAATTGATTATTTTTTGAAAGTTTTTTTTGTCAAATTTTAATCAACAAACAAAATCGCTTCAATCCGTTCTATTTATGTTTTGTTTTGTGTGCTTTTCAGTTGGTTACCGAACTAAAACAACTGTTATTTCGTATTTATAGCTTAAACTTGACTAATATTCAATTTTTACTGTGTTTTCATGCTCTTTATTATAATTGATTTTTGTAAGATAATATTTTGATAGAAAAAGGGATTATAACCTTTTATAATTGATTATAATTTTTCCGAAAATCTATTATAATCTCGTATAATCTATTATAATAATTTTTAATCCCTTTTTCTATCAAAATATTATCTTACAAAAAAATTAATTATAATAAAAAGCATGAAAACACAGTAAACATTGAATAGTGTTAGAGTTTAAACTATAAGTACGAAATAACAGCATGTATGTACGTATGTCTGTAAGTATGTGTGCATGTATATATGTATGTATGTATGTATGTATCTATCTGTGTATGTATGTATGAATGTATGTATGTATGTATGTATGTATGTATGTATGTATGTATGTATGTATGTATGCATGTATGTATGTATGTATGTATGTTTGTATGTATGTATGTATGCATGTATGTATGCATGTATGTATGTATGAATGTATGTATGTATGTATGTATGTATGTATGTATGTATGTATGTATGTATGTATGTATGTATGTATGTATGTATGTATGTATGTATGCATGTATGTATGTATGTATGTTTGTATGTATGTATGTATGCATGTATGTATGTAGGTATGTATGTATGTATGTGTGTATGTATGTATGTACATTTGTATCTATGTATGTATGTATGTATGTATGTATGTATATATGTATGTATGTATTTATGTATGTATGTATGTATGTATGTATGTATGTATGTATGTATGTATGTATGTATGTATGTATGTATGTATGTATGTATGTATGTATGTATGTATGTATGTATGTATGTATGTGTTTATGTATGTATGTATGTATGTATGTATGTATGTATGTATGTATGTATGTAGGTATGTATGTAGGTATGTATGTATGTATGTATGTATGTATGTATGTATGTATGTATGTATGTATGTATGTATGTATGTATGTATGTATGTATGTATGTATGTATGTATGTATGTATGTATGTATGCATGTATGTACATGTGTATGTATGTATGTCAGTTCCTTATAAACTTTTTGATAATTTTTTTTCTGCATGTTTTGTTTCATTAAAGAAGAGTCAAAGTTGAGCAATAATTGAACAATTTTTTTGCTTGATTAGGCACCAGTTTAAAAAATGGTCAAAAATAAACTCACATCAACATTGTCCACTGTGCGACAATTTTCCGTTACATGCAATTTTCTGAACCTTTTAAATCGATGTTTTTAACTCTCTTGATACATTTCTAGAATACGGTTACGCTCTGCAAGTTTGATAAACTTTTTAGGAATCTAACAAGTAGTTCGGAAATTGAAAATTTCTGCTGAAGTTAACAGTTAAAGTACGCTGGGTAAATTTTGTAAACCTCGCGCTATTTCATTCGAATTCCGTGTTAACCTTTGAATACCCACATTGAATAACTTCGTCAGCAAAATGAATATTTTTAAGCGAAAACAAAATTATTTTAGATTAATTCAAGGTAAAAATATACAGATTTTGTTTCCTTACCCGCTTTTTATGCGGTATCAGAGAAACTTTCGAGAAATTTCAATCTCGGGCAACTACAACAGTTCAATTTTAAGGCACAAAGTGCTAAATAAAAGTAGCACAAACTCTGAGGGTTTTGGTGACCCATTGCTCAAGATTGCAGGTAGATGATAATTTTTCTAACTATTTGAAAAATGGGTAAGAACTTCGTCTTCGGGTGCGTTTTAGCTTTTTTTCTTTGTTTTTTCATCTTTTTTGTTTTAAAAAGTTCAGACACAAAAAGCTTATTAACAGCAGCACGCAATCTTAGGTTCTTTGGAGACCCATTGCTCAAGGTTGCAGGGGAATTCTATTTATTCCGGCTTTCAAATTATATTTGGATGTGTTTTAGAAAAAAAAATCAAGAAAAAAACTAGCAATAGATTGTTAAAAATTCTATTTAAAAAAGATTTTCTGGACACTAAAATCGATCTGTTGAGACGCTTTTCAGTTGGATTTATATGGATTTTAGTAAGTTTTGGATGGATTTAAAATGATTTTGGTGAGATTTGGATGGATTTCAATAATCATGGAAACCCATCTAAATAGATTTTTAAGGCACTTAAATCGGTCCTAAGTTTTTAAGAAAGATTAAAACCGATTTAAAATGCATTCTAGTTCCTAAATAGTGCATTTTTAACCAAATTGGATCGACCAAAAATTGATATAAAATGACATTAAATTAATCGCAAAACATTTTTGCCAGCGTTGAATCATTGATTAGCTACATCTTACTAAAATAACAATGAGTTTTCTTAGTATTATCTTCATTTTGGGCCATCAAAACTATTTGACTTGTCAGTGAAATTGTTCAAATATTAGCATAGATGAAAGTCAGAGAAAGGGTTACGGTGGAAGGGTGTTTAGGGGTTGTGTGGGTAAGGGAAGTGGAGGCTTTTGACAATTGGGCAATTTTCACAGTTGGATTGGGCCAGGGACTTAGTTGGGCTTAAATGTGGTGAACCAAAAGGCAAAATTTATGATTACTTGACTCGGAGGAAACTAAGTTACTTTTTATCCAGCCTAAAAACAAATTTCATTGCGAAAAACCCAAAAAATGATTGTTTTTGTTGGTCAATTCAATAGTTTTAGACCCAAAAAATGATTGTTTTTGTTGGTCTATTCAATAGTTATAGATGTTTTGCTTAGGATTTTTACTTTAGGATTTTTAAAATTATCAACAGTGACGTTGTCGAAAAAATTTTCGGCACTTTGTTTTGTCGGTTTAGCGGGCATTTGTGGAGCGCAGAGCGTTGTCAGGTGAGCAGGGGGGATTGATTAGAGAGTGTTTGGGATCGGAGGGGGATGGGATAAACAAATTATGTAGGCCTGCTCGCTTCTGAAGTACACAGTACTCTGCAGTTAATTTTTGCTCTGCTAGTGACATAGTGGTAAATAAATGCAATAAAGAGAGCGAGGCGAAATTGCAGTAGACCTAATTAACATCAGATTGATAAATTGAGGTCTGTTTAAATCAACAGCAGGTTGGCATTGTCGTCCCACTTGCCTTAGTTTTCCCAGAGACGTTTACCCAGTGCCTGTTCTGAAATGGGACCAAGTATCCAGAAGGGAAGAGGAAAGCGAGGGAAGAGGAGTGAAGGTGCTAATCAAAACCAGGTGTATCGGATAGGAGACCAGGTGGATGAAGGGTGTCGGCTAATGCGACGCCAGACGATCAAGCGAGGGTTCCTTGGATGTCGACACCTGGTTGTGGGGTTGCAAGTTGAAAGACGCCCGACCCGGCACCACGGTGATTGAGTGAGGGGAACGGGGAAAAAAGCTCAGCCCACAGTCAAGTGGAGGGATCTCGGATTAGCACCCATTTGCAAATGTGGCAAACGGAACCAAATGGCCGGGGTGCTAAGACTGCTAATACCGCTAATGCCACCCCACGCACCCTGTAGTCTAATTGTAACGCGACAGTTACGACGGCTAAAGGGATCTTCTAATTTGTTCAGCTTAAATCCACCTCTGCTGCTGAACAAATCCAAAAAACATCCAATCACAATCTCAAATCACAATCATAGGATCCAGGACCAAAATAAAAACACATTCGCTCTCGGTCTTGGTAGATCAACCTTTCTCGAAGTTTTCTTTGGTCAGTTAGTGTTGGACTGAGCTTGTAAAATCCCAATAAGTAAACAATCGGATCCATCAAAGCTTATACCTTCCTATATCATTGAAACTGAGCCTGGACCGTCTGGAAAGCTCCTCTGATCAATCGCAGAGGACTCACCTAGAAGCTCGCATGGACTGTGGCGGAATCCTTCCGCCTCCCTTGCCTTTGCCACTTCCTGGAAGTAAAGATCCATCTCACGACAAAACGAATCTCAGCCAAAACCGGCTTCTTGCCCAAAATCAACATCAACTTCAGTCTGGATCGGGCAACGGGGCGGGATCTCGAGTTGAAAAGGGTCTTGCGGGTGTTGTGTTCTTAGACGCAAATCAACAGCACAAAACGAAAGGTAACTATAAAAGAGCAGCATATTGCAAAAATAATTAATTGTATCACAGGAAGAAAAAATGAAAACAAAATTTTTTTCTTGAATATCTGCAAATCTTGTGATGCAACAATCTTCCGGGATCTGAGAAAAAAACACTCAAACTTTTGGTTAGTCAACTGATATTATTTAGTTTTTTTTTCATATGAAGAGACCATGGGCTTCTTGGGTGTGCATATGTGTGTGTGTGGGGGGGGGGGGGTGGTGTTTTACTTAAGGGGTTCGAACCACTAATCACCCAATGGATCTTCCTTTGGTACTAACTTACCGAATCCAACTTTAGCTGACCAGCCTTTAAATTATCAATAAATGACTTTGACGCCAATATATACTAATTTTTGAGTTGGGAGCGCGCACCGAAAAACAGATTTTTTTGTCAAAACATTCGAAAACGTGCCTAAAAACGGTTTTCTGACTTATTTTTTTTTCAAAACAATGTCTTTGGCAAAAAAATATTTCGCAAAATAGAATCTTTTGGAGAGTTTGGAAAATCAAGATGATTGACCTAAAAAAATGGTCAACAAAATTTTACTTTATTTTTCCGCCCCTCTCGAAAAAGTCCTAGCAGAGACGACCTCTAAAGAACGTTCATTGTACAAAGAAACTAATTTTAGCTGTGCAAAGAAAAAATGTTATTGGAGCTTAAATGGTGTTACTCGCTGGTCGAGATTAAGTTCTTTGAGATTAAACTATTTTGGATGAATCAAACATAGGATTGACTTAAGCCTGATAAGCTCTGATCTACCTGTACCTGATCGTTGAATCAGATCATAGATTACCTATGATATCCCATGATCCCCATAATACCCTACCTGTATATACACACTTGGATCCCTAAATCCACCACAAACAGTATAGTTGTTCTAAAATGAGAGATAACCGATAAGTCTGATCAGTTGAAATTAACCCCCTTTAAAACTGTTTTCTTTCTGAATTTTTTTCTCGTTCTCTAGTTTTCAAGAAGTTCTGATCACCTGTTTTAACTCCAAAAAATTGGCCTCAATGTGATCGTTATCATGTAATTATAGCAACACCCTCTTTTGGAAAAACTCCTGCCTGTAAGTGAAAAACTGATAATTAATTTTATGAAAAACTCTGATATTTTAGAGGCCATTAAAAATACTTAAAAGGCGTTATTTCAACAAATATCTACAAAATTTAACAAACATCTACAAAGGGTGGTATGAGTTGGGCCGTTTTCGAATCCTTAATGGAATAATCTTTTGCCATCTTGACTACGACACATCATTACATTTGAATTAGCTGAACAGATATCAGCAACCTGTTTAAACGCAAACACCCCTCCCCTCCCACTCTTGACATCTGGGAAAAGACATGCCGGCCCGGTTTCACGAATTCGACAGTTGACGGCGGAGTCTGGGATAAACTTGAATTTAATAAACGTCACGCAGAAATAATTAGGGGATTTATGAGTGGCGCTTTATTGGATTGGCGAGATTCGAATGGAATGGGTGGGGGTGGTTGAGATTGTAGGACAAACAACTCTGTATGTTCACACGTGGATCGCGGCCACTAATGATTATTGGTTAGAAAGGATCTTTATTAAAATTTACTCCGAAAGACACTAAAATCAATAGTTTGCAGTGAAATTGAGATACGTTTGAGGAGAGAATAGTTTGAAAATTAATAAAGCCACTCTTTAACTTCCAGAAGAGAGTTTCAATATTAGATTGAAACTTGAGAGTGCCAATAAAGTTTTGTGGCCGTTTGGCGCAACCAAGTCTTGTCGGTGTTTGAGGAAAAGTTATTAATCTTTTTAAGACCAGCGGGACTTTATTAATACTAATAAAGCGAAACAGACTTTATTGCAGATAAGATGGCACGCAGTTCAGACCCATTACACACTGGGTCATAATCTATATTAATCATCAGTGCCCGTTTAAACTACACTTAATCTCTCCTCTTCCACCCGAACCTGAAACAAATAACCCAAACCACTCAAACCAACCAGTCTTTATTTTCCAGTTATTACCTTTATTATCCCAGCAACCACAAGTGCAAGTTCATAGACACTCTTTTTATACCGAAATAGAAAAATCTGTAGTCTATTTGCGATCTTTTTGAGCTAAAAATTGCACCAGAACCAGGTAAAATATATAATATCGGATATTCGGTTTCTGTTCATCTGGTAGATCTCAATATATTCCAAATATAAGTCTTTAGTGATATTAAACCAACGCTTTTATTTTTCTAGAGACGTCCAGTTTACACGATTCTCCCTCCGCAAAGATATCTCGAGGAGTCCCGGTGTCCAAGATGGTGTCTTCAGCAACACCCATTGTCAAGTCAGTCTCAGGCGCCAGTGACATCTATCCTTTGCAACCGAACCTCCTAGGTCCAAACGGAACTGGATCCATGTTGGATAGTCATCCAGACCAAATGTCTCCTTCAACCGGGCCCAACCGGGAGAGAAGACAAAGAACCCAGTTCACCTCGCACCAGTTACGCGAACTGGAATCCATGTTCGCCAGAAACCGTTATCCAGATATGGCAACGCGAGAAAGACTTTCAGCATGGATCAGTCTTTCGGAAACTAAAGTTCGAATCTGGTTTAAAAACCGAAGAGCCAAATGGCGTAAGAAGGAGCGACACTCCGCGACCTCTACCCCGCAGAACCCGGCACCGTCTCTGGATGCTGCGGCGGCTGCTGCTGTTGCCTGGAAACCAAGCTCTTTTCTCCACACCACACCTTCAGTGCCTTTCAACTATCCGCATTACGACCCTTTAAGACAATCTCTGGTATCTGCAGCAGCTCCCAATTCTTTCAACGTCGACTCAAAAACAACGTCTCCTTTCATCGCACCTGCGAACGCGTTCGGTTCTTGTTCGGCCACGCCTTTCCGACCTTACACTCAACCATCTTGGAACCTGTTTTCAAACAGTCTTCAAACTCAGTTCCCAGGAGTCCAGGCATTCGGAGCCCACTCGTATCCAGACCCAATTATGGACCACCATCTGAACCCATTCGGACCTAGCGCTGCAGCTCCTCTGGGTTCAGCGAACGACACGCTCTTAGGTGGAGCCCCATCACACCCAAATCCCTATTCGGTCAAACAGGAGTTCTGGCACGAACTGGACGCCCGGGCAAACAACACTGCAAACCAGAACAGCTGTTTTTCAGTTGCAACTAGTAGATGAATCTCAAAAATGGTAGTCGAAAACCAAACTGAAGTTCAAAAACCATTTCCTGCCTTATCTCCTCAAATTAATGATGCCTTATTTAATAATTTAAATAATTTCAAATAAGTTATGTTTGTTTTTTTTGTTTCTATTTCATTGTGTACATTTCTAAAATGCTTCTAATCTTAGTTTCTAATTTATTTTTTTTTGTTAAACGGCCAGCCACTAGCTTAACCATATTCAGATTTAAAAAAGCTAATTTCCGACTAAAAAGAAAACAGAAAAAAATGCCGCTTTGGTACTTCTTGCAAGTTTTTTTGAACATCAGTTTTTTCTCCTATTAAGTTTATTGTACAGTGGCATCCATAAAATTTATTCTAATGAAAAAACATAAGTGGTTGCTGTGGATACAGCGCAGAATGTTCCGAATCTCATTTTCTTAGGTTGTGAAAATATTTAAATTAATCAGATCAATCAAACCTGGCGCAAAAAATAAACTCAAGAACAATTTGGCGAAGAAACTCCACTAAATATTGCCATATTGCATCAATTTTTTTAATCGCGGCGAAAACCGAATGATTCTTATGACGAAGTAGTTTCTCGGCTTCAAAGCAGCAGAGTTCCACTGAGCCTGCTTATTATGGAGAAACTGAAAGATGAAGAGCCAGTCAGAAGTGAGAATCGGATAACCAAAATCTAAGAAAAATTGCTAACGATAAAAAAAACATTATATTCTGAGCATTCAATTCCATATTGGCAAATAACGCAGTCGCCAGAAACGAGACACGAAAAATGGGAGAAGAAAACTTGAAGGTGGCGAAAAATAAAAAGGGATAATTTTTTGTACACGATGCCCAAGAGAAACCCGACAATGCAGGAAAAATCTGTAGATCTTACAACTTTCTAAAAAGAAAAGTTCCTATCTTAGAACTTTCTTTAGAAAAAGCCCCTATCTTGTATCATTCTCAGAGCCTAATTTTGTAAGAAGTTGTAAGATTCTTATAAGAAAAGTTCTAAGATAGCTACTTTTGGTCAGCCCGGGAACCTGTCAGTTTTGGTCAAAAGTTTCCGCATAAAGTGCTTAACAAAAATCAATTTTTTCAACGTTTTTCAAGTTTAATACAGCTTTTTATCCTTTGATTACCTCACCTTGAGATTAGCCACATTCCAAGAACTCAAGCCTTCATAAAAGTCGGAAAACAATTAAATATTTTGTAAAAATACAACTTTAGCCATTTGAGAGCTATCAGTTTTTTTCCAAATTATAAAGTTTCCACTTCGGTTTCTTCTGAATTGATGTTGGAACGGAATGATCGAAAAACAAATTGTTATTTTTCTGAATCATAGAAAATCATTACATATTCCGATTAACTGAACGCTCCATGTCCAATATCAGATGTAAAATTGATATTTAATCCTGCCAGCATAAGTTAAGCCTTTTTTGAATTTAATATTTCGCAAGATAATATTTGATTTTGGAATATTGAAAATCACCAATTATCTTCAGTATTTGCTCGAAGCCATATCAATTTTAATATCTTTTTTTTTCTTGTTTGATTATCTAATTTGTTTTTGAGCAAAAAAATTGGTGTTTTTCTAAAAGTTAATTATATTCGTTTAAACCTATGAGCCATGTCGATCACAATTTATTGTTTTTATTATTTTCGAAAAAAATGACAAACTATTTGTGCTTGGGGGTGGTTTTTTATCAAAACATATTTCGTCTTTTTAACTAGTAACTTTTGAAAAAAAATGTTGTTGTCTTGAGCTAAGTTTATTGGAAAGTTTCGCCCGTATAGATGCTTTAAAGATTGATAACAAGGCCAATTTGGGACAATTAACGCGCGATAAATTTCGCGCTAATAATGCGCATGCCGAAATTTAATCCGCCATAAAAATTGTTCCAAATTGGCTGAAGGAAGCTTATTTCACATAATTGATTTGTTTCCAGGAGCGAAATCTATCACTTTGTATTTTATATGGCGTGTGGGGGGATTATTTATAAGAAACATTAGAAAATTTGTTTTGGAACAGATCATTAATTTTTAGAAAACAAAGACTTTAACAGGCAATCGAAACGTTTGGGACTTTTCTCTGATGCGAGCAGTTTTGTTACTCCGACTTTCCAAGAATGTGAGAAACATATATATGCCCAGGGTGAATTTTTTAAAATTCAAATCAGTTTTTACAAAACTCTGGTTCCTCGATCAATCTATCTCTTGAGCTACATGAGGCCGACCGAGTGTGCTCAGCACTATAGTAAAAAACTGTGATGATTATGGCTAAAACTGCTTGTTTTATTATCCCTTGCTACAAAATCGTTCCAAATTGAATCAATGTAGCTAATTAGTTTTTTTAATTCCACGCATGACTCAAATTGCAACACTTAATTTTTGATATTCTTAACCTAAAGCTCATAGTTTTACTAAAATTTGATTTACCCAATTATCCGAGATCAGCTAAAGGGCAGTCGGAACAATCAGGAATTTGCCCTGATACGAGCAGTCTTGTTTCATTATCTGCTTGGAGCTAAAGCAATTCTAATGTCTTTTCTTTTACTTTTTTAATTGTCAAATTTGTTTTTCAGCAAGAAATTTGTTTCAAAAATCAAATTAACCATACTTTTTAACCGTATTAACCATGTCACCCGGATTGAGGTCTGCAACTCATGTTGCGACCGATATGGATCGCCGAAATAGACATTCTGCTATCGAACTTCCATACTCCCTCTTGAGTCAAACGAAACATTTGTCGCAACATGGGTCGCGCAAAACTCGCAATATGACTCGCGTATTAAAAAAATTTCGAGCTGTTTAAATAAAGGATTTTTTTGTTTGAATAGGCATAATACAGTTACAGAGTGCAAAATAATCCATTATATACGTATTTTCAAAGTGCAGTTAACTAGATCAACATTTTTGCTGACCTTATGCAGGATCCCCACGATTAGGCCTACACATGGTCCCAAAGTAAAATATAAGCATTTTTTTGTGGGGCAACAACAAACTCGTTGCCGTAGAAAACTGAAAGCTAGAAACCATTCAAATCAAATTCAAATATAAATTAGAAAGTTTAAATGATTGCATCCATAGCTTATTTTGCTCTTGATGATGAATCAAAGTCAGAATACCGAAGTTATTTGGAGTTTGATGCTGTTAAAAATTTGTTTTGAATTACATGGTCTTCATCAAACTTTTAAAATGAATTATCCAGCTCATATTTGCGTTCATACCAAGTTCTTCACGTGGAACGTATTATTTTTGCTGCCCAAAATTAAAATTTGATTTTTTTTTCAACAGCTTCTAGATTGAAGTAAAAAGTGGAGTCCCTAAGGATTCGGCTAATTAGAGTTCTGCTGAGTTTTGCGGAATCATTTAGCAGAACAGAGAAAATATGGCTCAAAGAGCAGAAAAATTATTGAAAAATCAGAGAGAGTAAGAAAGAGAGTAAAATTTAATCTATTGAGCAAACTTTGGGAATTTGTAGGAAACTTAAAGGAAAAGTTAGGAAGAATTAGCTTGGCTTTTGTTCATTGATTACCGAAAGCGATTAAATATTCAATTTTTCTCAACTTTTTGTGGCAAAAACTACACCAAATCAGATAGTCATATAAAAAAACATCGATTATACCCAAGAAGCAAAATGTCGGCTGTAAAGCAGCCGAGTTCCACCAAACCTGATATTAATAGAGGGACCAACTGATGAAAATTCAATCAAAATTGTCATTGGGTATTCAAAATGTAGAAAAAAAAATGCGAAAAATCAAGAAAACGGCCGAGCACTCAGTTTAGTTTTACCCAAATACAAAGGCAACAGGTGATTCGATTGGACTGATATGTCTTAAAATTCGTATTGGGTAAACATTTTCAACCTGCAACCCTTACATAAAAAACATAACCGTAACAAATTCAAATTGATATTCGCTGAAAACTTTCTGCCATTAATTGAAAGCTAAGTTTACCTTGCCTTCCTATCGTTCAGTCCTTTTATCATAAGCTTCTTGACTTCTTAGGGAAAATAAAGTTTAGCTATACTTTGCTATTTTATTTAAAATTATTTATTAAAGTTTATTTGCTGATCGCGAAGCTCAATTTATATTTTGACAACTGATATAATTTCATACAACCAAACTCAAGCCTTTAAGTTTTTTTACTTCGGCTTTTCCAGTTATAGCCTACAAGCCTAGTAAGAATTTTGTTTACAAAAACTGTTTACAAAACAATTTTGAATCTAAAACAAATTTTTTTCTATATTTTTTGAAAAAATCAATTATCAAATTTTTTCAAAACATTAATTATATTGTCTGGAAATGGGTTGTCGGAAACGCCGACTTTTCTATTCCTACAAACATGTTTTTAAACAGTTGAGTAAAAAATTTCGAGAATTCGGCTAGATTGAGACATGAATCTTGAAGACCATTCTTGTCTTGACGTAGCCAAATTATCAAAAATTTCAAGATTTTGTTTTTAATGAGGTTTTTCAGATTTATGTTGCCCAAAATCTTATCTAATTTGATAAAATTTTTCTGCGTGTTTTGATCCCAACTTGTGAATTAGTTTTAAAATATTCATGATTTGTGATGTTAATTTTGACTTTTACAATTTTCAGACAATATAATTGATAATTCCTAATTTTTTGATAAATTATTTTCTTTACTCATCAGAACCAATTCAAAATTGGAATTCTTGCCACTAAATTTATGAGTTTTCCTACACAAGAGAAAAATTTGGTTCTGTATTCTCCGGCAAAATATAGATGAAACAAACTTTGAATTTTTAGTTTTTTGGAAAATGTTTTGCATACAATTTTCATGAAAAATAGCCTAGCGAAGAGCTGAGTTTTTTTACAATTTTCTGTACTAATAGATTCGTACCAAAATTGTTTCATAAGCAAGTTTCGATTATGACAACTGTATGACGTTTATTTTTGGTCAAACCCGGTCCTCAGAAACCGCATTAAAATCTTTTAAAATCAAATTTTTTAAAGAATCTATAGAGTTCATAACGCTAAAATTATCTTAGACCACCCCGCATCCGAAGTTTTAGAAGGCTTAAATTATCAATTATAATGGATTATGCGGAATTTTTGAC